GCTGTTTTGCTACCACAACCAAACAGAATACTACACATAAATAGAACATAAATAAATAGCTCATGCTTACCCTCGACTCTCAGATGTACAAAATGGTAAGGCTTCGTAAAAAGCAACTGTCATTAGAATTAAGACTGAGTTTCCATTAAGACCTCGTTTCAATGCATCATGCTCCACCAAGAACAACAATATGCATTTTGTGGTACATGTATGCTCCTACCTTTCAATCTGCAATGCTCTGTATTTTCCATCAAGAAGCAGAGATGATATGTTGAACTATCTATTTCAGAATAGCGAGTCAATCTTCAGCCGCTACAAAGTGCATCAGTAATAATGTACTAGATCTCAAAAAGAAGATGCACATTGTGAATCTGTCAGGTACACAGTTCAGCCACTTGCTCTGATTAATACTGAAAAGTAACCTAGTAAGAATACAGCAATATCCAATGTAGCTAAATTCAGAATAGATTATGTCCTCAAGAGAGTTGTGGGTCCTGAAGTCAACAGACTTAAGCTTGATTGAGTGGTGTCAAGTATTGCTGATCTTCAGAAAAATGCGCGTGTAAGAGCCAGAGAATGAGAGTCACTGGGTGCCTCTACACAAGACGTTTATTGTGGAGCTGCATGATCAGTTCCAGAGTAAAAAAAAGTCTCAACAACTACACATGTGACTATTAGGCCACAAGAAACTAATTAACTCTGCCACAGGTTAGTACTTATAAATACAAGTACTTTTCTGTGGCAGAGTTCTTTAGTGAGCAACAATAAACATCTAGATGCTGATGGGGCTGGCTGGGACATGAGGATGCTTCAGTACAGGGCAGCCTGGTGGCTAACTCCACAATGGAGCACCCTTGTGCCCCAATCAGGCTTTCTACAGCATACTGAACTGGGTAGGAGCATCCCCAGGGGGGCAGGCTGACACCCCCAGGCCCCTGCCAGCTGGGGCTGCTCTGAACCAGCTCAAGATGCTGCAGTCTCAGGCACACGTTCAAATGCAGTGCCCAGGAGCAGTAAATTCCAGCATGATATGCTAGTAGCCTAGAGCAATAAACTCCAGTGCATGTGTCAATGCACCCACTGGCACCCAGAGAAGCACAGTTGGACTGTTTTTTTGCCTAAATATTTCTGCAACTTTCTTTGGGGGTGGATAACTTAACTAGAAATAAGACAACTAAATTCCACTACTCTTATTCTGCTCAGAAAAATAATCAGGGTCCCCCCTGCAACAGCAGTTATAGTCTACACCCAGTGAAGCCTGACAACAGATGCAAGGTTAGAGTTGCTCTACTGCAAGGAAGATGCATCAAGAATTAAAGCATGTTTCTGGTACCCATCTTGTTGGATTGTTGAAACGCTCAACTCCAAGTAAGGTAAGGTTGGGTCTGTGCCATTAGGGAAGGAGGGAGGGAGGGAGCCAGCCAGCCAGCCTCTAGTGGCACAGAAGAAAATGCATAGAGAGACTTGGGATTATGCAGCATTAGGTTTTCCCTGTAGATGGATGTGGACATGTCATGTGTGTTGATGCTGTACAACCTACAGTCTTCTCATGCTTGTTCCTTGTCAACTGTAGCTACAAGTTTTGCATTAACTGAAAGCCACTAGGAACCATTACGCAGTAACAAAGCACCTTATGTTTGTACTTCACATAGCTTCTCAGCTCTGGCTAAGCTAGCTGACAACGATAAACCAAGCTCAATTCTTGGTATAGCAACTCTAAGGCCAGGCTGAAACAAGACTGTTTGCAGGCCATCTTTGTGTCACCCCATCAATAGGGGATGTTGGCACCCAACAGGATCAGACACTTTATCAAGTTATTTCCCCTATATATTGTTCAGACTTGTGCCAATTTGTCTAAAATGGCACTAGAAACATTATCTTCACATGAGAGTTTAATTAGCAGTCTGATACAAGTTGAAATAGCAAGCAACTGATCTTCAGACAGTAGCTTTGCACACTACTGTGGTACTGCACCAGTTAAAAAACAAACACACCACACACATTAAAAGGAAAGATGTTAATTTGAACCATCTCTCTCACAAGGTCAGTTAAAAGTAGGATAAAAATCAAGAATGAACAATTTGTTGTGAGGAACAAAAAAAAAAAAAAAAGCCACAACATAAAGCAAACATTTCTTTGTACAGTACTAGCTTTTCAGGGTCAAGTAAGTTAATCATTTTCTCCAAATATTGGAGAGAAAGAGGTAGCTAGCCATATTAGTCTGAATCTAAAAACCCAGGCAGAAGGCAAGGCAGGCGCTAGCACCTTATAGATTAAGTGGTATGCCTTCAGAACCAGTTACCCTTCCCTGCCTTCTGCTTCAAATACAGAATTAAGCTTGCTTGTCCCTAAAAAGTTAGTCCAAAGTTTGCTTTATGCAGTTTTGATTTTAAAACAAAACATCTTCTTTTGAATGCTGAAGTTATGAAAAAAATAAGTTCAGGGACTAATGAAGCCAAGCCCATAGGCTTAAGACACTTAATCAAGTGTCTGATTCTGTTTCGTCTCTGCAGCCCCTATTGATGTGGTGGACAAAACTGGGCTACAAACAGCCTTGTTTCAGCCTGGCCTTAGAGTTACTATAACAAGAATTGAGCATGGTTGACAGTTGGTTGTCAGCTAGCTTAGCCAGAACTGAGGCGCTACATGAAGTGCAAGCATAGGGTGCTTTCTTAATATAGGCTTGGCTTCATGTACTTTAGTGCCCTTTTGCTGGCAACATTGTTTGTATTTATGAAACAGTCATTCTTAAACTATATTGCAAAGCCCCAGATTAATTGAACTTGTTAGAAATAAAGTTCTACTCATTTCCACAAAATTACTTTATTAGTTATTGGAATACAAAATTTACAATATATTAGGTGTTTTTGGATACTACTACATAGAACACAATTCACATTTATTTTTTTAGTTAGTTACACACACATATTAGTAAGTCTGTCACCAAAATACTGCATAAAAATAGTTGGATTACTACTATGAAACTGATCTAGCAGTCTTTTTCTCTCTTTGGCAGAGAGTTTTGAATCTTCATCAATGGTTTTTAGCAAAGATAGTAACTCATCTTTTGTTGTCTTCTCTGTATTGATGTGATATTCCCCCTCATCAAGTTTTTGGCAGAAAGTGTAGCCTGAAGACAGATATGAAAGATATTCAGATTGCTTGCAAGCCATCAGAGTCATCTAGCCATCCTATATTTTGCAAGCAAGTTTGCATTTAAAATAAAATTGCAAATTGTCACTTTAAGCCTCTTTGCATTGGCCCAGTTCTTTTTACTATATATCCAAACCTGAAAACAGGAATCTGTTTGTGTATTTTGAGGCTACTTTTTAAAGTCTGGATAGTAAGAATTGCTCTAACAAAAAACAACTATTTAAAACTGTAGAAAGTTAAGTGGTTACCTGTATTCTTACTAGGATCTTGACCTTGTTGTATAGCCACCAGCTTATCACTAACCATTTTATGTAGTGTCCCTGGGATCTTGAATAAAAGAGAGGAGACGGCCTAAATACATTTAGTTAATACTGGTTAAGATAAAAGTAGTTCAAATAAATGATATGGCTGATTTTTAGGTCTTACCTTTAAAACATCTTTTTGATGATCCACCAAGAACAAAATCAGGAGGTCAGTTTTTCCTTTGGATAAGGTCTTATTGTTGACGATAGCTTTAGAAAACATTCTTTTCACAACCATCCTATTATCAGTCTATATGGGGGGGAAGAAGATGGAAAAAAAAAAAGGTAAACTAAAGGATACCACAGTAACTTTTTCCCCTTTTGGTTTATCATAGGTAGCAAATAAAGGCATAATTTCTGTGAACTGCATTTTTATATATATAAAACTCAATACTGAACATGCACTGAGGTAAATGCCCTAGTTACACACACCTACAGGGAAAAATTATAGAAGCATCAAACTGATGTAGGCAAACAACACTCTTGTGGTAGGGGCAATACCTTTTATTAGGCCAACTAAATAGTAGCAAAAAAATTCCTGCAAGCTTTCAGGGCCAAAACACCCTTCTTCAGGCAAAGGAGAGTTCAAAGATTATAAATGTTCTCCCAGGTAGAAATGAAGCTTCATCTTGTACAGGGGAGTTAAAAGATGGCAAGGTTCCCCAAATATAAACAGTCCATTTTAAACAAGGTTGCTCTGTGAGTATGCAAAAGGAGGCACAGACAATAGCCAGAAGTAGGCTTGTTACCTGATGGTGTCCAATTGCTACTATTCAGTTGCTTTAATAAAAGATACTGCTTATGCTACAAAAGTTGTTTGCCTCAAACTGATGTAGGCATGCAATCTTTGACATTGTTTATGCAACTTTGCCTTTTACCTCTTTCTGCAACTTGAGCTCCGAATGATAAGCTGCAACAGCCATGAAGTATAACAACCTTCTGAACTCTTCTCTAGTTTGACTATTCAGAAGCTTTAAGTAGAGTTGAACTGCTTCTAAAGCCTGTTCAGTCTTTCCATTCACTGAGACAAAACACAAAGATAAGAGCAGGAGCGTAAACCTACAAACTCTGGTCTTGGACAGGTAAATCAAAATTGACTACACGTACATGTTTCTGAATTCACACTCACAACAAACATTAGAAGCTACCCATTAGAGGAAGCTGCATATTTAAAAACAGAGATTAAGGGTCTTGGTTTGTTTTGTGGTTTGTTTGTTTGGTTTTGTTTTGTTTTTTTTGGGGGGGGGGGAAGAGGGGGAGGTATATTTTACTGTTGTTTTTTCTAAATTTTAACAACACAACCCTCCTATAAGAAGCTACTTCCTTTCTAGAGTCACTCAAGAAGAATTTACCTCTATACAAGCAAGCCAAAGCCAGTTATCCCTCCCTGCACTGCATTATGTAGTCATCTTCCTTGTACAGAGCTGAGGTTTATAATGAAACCTCTTTTAGAAAAAAAACCTGATTTTAAAGAATACCCAATTATTGATACATGCCATTTTAAAGCCATATCAACATGAGGCACTCTAGTCCCAGCAAGAAAATTCACACATTTAAAATTCTTTAGTGTTCTTAACTACCACATGAAAATGGCCAATGGCATTTGGGCTCAAACATTTAGCATCATTTTCTTGCTCACCAGGACACACATTGAAACATCAACATAGCTCTGCCAACTGAACTACATTAGGATATAACTGCAAATTATTTACAAGCTACACTATAACAGAGTTTGATAACTTGGTGACAGGACGGTTCAGCCTACAGTTTTACTCTACTTCAGTCAGCAAAACAGAATTGAACTGTCAAATTTTACTACAAACTGACAGCTGTACAAAAATAGTTAATATGCTTGTGACCCTCAGTGGTATCAGCCAGCAGTCCTGTATAATAGAATCTTCAAAGAAAAAACTTTTCAGTGAAATCTTCAAATGGAAAAACAAACAACAACAACAAAAAAAACAACACATGACTACTTAACTGCTGCCTAGTTATTTCATTGAAGACCTGGAGGGTTTTTTGTTGTTGGATTTTTTTGGTTTTTTAAATAGGTATTGTAGAAGAGTAGATTTATTTAAAAACAAGTGGGCCATATTAGGCTGTTCATCTTGTGAGAAGATGGCTTAAAAAGCATGTTGCCTATACTGGAGTAGGGGGAAAACTTTACTAGGCTAAATTCACAAACATCCAGAGAGAATCCATACAAGGCTTAAAAGAACCCACCTATCTATCTATAAAATGAAGTTGTATGATTTCGTATGTACAAGTTTCAGGGCTGATCTATTCCTTTACCTTGTATAACTCATTAACTTTTGTGCAGATTAGAATGCTAGTTTCTCATACACTTTGCACAGCTGTGCCCACACAAGGTACACAACTAAGGACAATCTGGCTGTTAGCCCTGATCAAATTCCTAAACTAGGAATCAGCTCTCAAAATTTATTCACTAGGAAGGAAGATACTACTCCTTTATGGTGCCTACAGACAAATCTGATAACCAGGTACTCAGTCCTTCAATCTACTTACCAGATAAACCTAGAATCTCATCATCATTTCACTTACCCAGCAGCTCTGCAATTCCTGTGTGGATATCAGATGCATGGGTTAATAGTGGCTCTTTCTGACTGTAGTAGCCACCAATAGTATCAAACAGCAGTAGCTTCCATGCCTCTGTTTTGTCAGGTTGATCAGGCAAGTTTCTGCTTATATCTACCACCATTTGATCTGGAAGATAATCCAAGCAATCTATTGCTGCAGAGAGCCATTCATCTGTCCTAGAAAGAACCATTATACAGACAGATCTGTCAATAAAGCATTAGACAGTTACTTGCATTCTGTGGGCTAAGCGGATGTTTACAAAGAGTAAATTCCCAACTGCTAAGCAGAGAGAGGTAGTTATCTGTGCTAGTCTGAAGTCAGGCAGAAGGCAGGATAGTGGCACTGTAGGCCCATTATTTTTGCTGAACTACAAAAGGTTGTAGCAACAAAAAATAAGTGAAGTGCTATGGGCAGCCACATTCAAAGCCCCTTATCTAGAGCATGACAAGGCACGTTCTCCGGACAGGGCCCAGTAGAGGGCTGCTCCATAACTCTCCTGCCCCTAGGGAAAGCCATCAGTAAGCCAGATAGCAAACACTACTGTCCCGCTCTAAGGAGCCTGCCTGCAGCCTGGGATCCTGAAATGTTTTTGACCTGTCTATAGCCCAGGTTTCTGGGGGTGTCTGTAGGAAAGGGTCATGCCCCAGGAAACTGGCTCCCTCCCACACTGATCAACTGGTCACTCCAGCTCTCTGTAAAGGGCATGATCCTTGCACGGGACCAGGTCACCATGATTCACCTGTCCCAGTTTGCTGGCCAGAATGAGGGATTAGAGAACTTATCCCCTTCCTCCATTTTCTGCAGGCAGCTGCAGGCTGTGTTTGACAGCCCTGGTGGCAGGCACAGGAATTACTTAGGCTTTCCCTCTTAACTTGCTCCTACGGCTTTTTGCTTAGGGGCAAGTGAGACCATGCCTCTGGACTTGCACATAGGATGCCAGCCATGGATTTGGGAGTATCTGAAGAGTCTAGAAGGGAGGACACTTTCCAGTGACAGCACCACACAGTCTTGAATGACTGAATTCTGCTCTGTTGACAGCATTTGGAACCAATTTACCTATTTGGCAAGAGACAAAAAATTTAAAAGAAGGGGGAGCAGTAAATCCTGAGATGCTGGCAGACCAGGGAAGATGTTTCGGTTGAATTTTTGGCACATTGCACATTAAAAATTAGAGCCCAACACAAAACAAGCTACAAAGAGGTGTTCCATATTTATCACGGAATACCTGAGGCTCATTCACCACGTTTGCTGCTTGTTGCCACCTTTATCGGATGACGCATTATTTGTGTGCGCGCCACGTCACAATTTATTGTACAATTAGTGTGGTAATTGTGCAATAAATGTACTATCTGCTGGGGGGGGGGAGTCTTATTAAGTAACTGGTTCAGAGAAGTATAATCTTTTGTAGACAACAGCCTACTTCATCAGATGCTGTAACTGTGTCCTACAAAAGCTTATGCCTCTCTGAACCAGTTAAATCTAAGGTGCCAGCCTGTTCTGCCTTATGCCCAATTGCTAAAACAGAAGTGTACAAGGGCTCCAAAATGAGTGCACTAGGCATAGACTATGGACACAGATTAGTAGTTTAGGATGAAGTTACAACTGTATGCACCTCTGGTTGTTTTCCGAAGGAGTTTAGTATTCTATTTGTCTAGGTACATTACATCACACAAAGCAAAATAGGATACCAACAATGTGGCTTTATGTTTTAGATTATATAGCTCCCAAAGAAATATGAACATTGATCTAGCTTGGATAAAAGAATTTTTCATATTTTGTTGTATTTTTTAATAGCACAGTTAAAAGAAACAAAACATATTTCAGGCCAAGCCTTATTTTAGTTTTGATTAAGATTTGAAGCAACTTAAACATACTTAAAAATATAGTCTGTTCATTCATTGTTCAGTGTTTCCAGAATCTAAAAGAATGACAAATGATACAAACTTCATCAGCTCAGTTTTTGGTTTGGATTTATATAGCAAAACATGGCCATTTTGCCTTCTCATAGTTTAATCAGACCTTCCTTTCCCTATTTTCTTTTTTTTCCACCCAATCCCATGCCAAAGAATTTACTAAAGTATTGCGAGTAGAAGCATTAAATGTTCAAAGCTAAATTCATTATAATATCAAATCAGTAGCCATTTGTTTACACAAAACATAATAAAAAGAGGGAAGTAGTTTACAAACTCCCAGAATTATAAGACTACATAACAATGCTGGACTCCAAAAGTTCCAGGAGTTAATACAGCAGTCATACCCCAATTCTACCATGCCCACGGGTTTGGTTTTAAAATAAGAGATACTGCTAACACATTAAACATAAAAAAAAAGAAGAGAGAGGGAAATTAGTTAGTTACTTTCCAGCCAGTTTCCCATTGTATATGCTCCAGAACATTCCAGTCAAAAGATCACAACTGGAATAAATAATCTTCAGCCAAATAAGTAGTTCTACAGACTAAGAAGTTTCTAAGCCAGCACAAACTGGAAGGATACTTAGTCACCATTGCAAAGAATAGTACATTGGTGCTCAACATTTTGGACCCTGAGGACCTGATGAGAGGGGGTAGTGCTGGTCCACAGGCCAGACCATATAGGTTGTATCTGCAATGGGTTCAGTCTACTGGTGCAATCCAACCTGCTGGCACGGGTCAGCACACTGGAGGATGCCGTAGGACAACATGCACTGGTGCATGGGGCCTTGTTATCAGGCCTGCAGGGATTCCCACAGGTCCAGAAGTTTGAGGGCATGGGGATGGGGTGTGGTGACAATGTTAACTGCCACAGCTTCCAGAGCCACAGCAATTAACACTACCAATACTCCTCTGGTGCCAAGTTTCTGTACCCAGGGGGAGCCCCAAGGACCAGATTCAGCCCTCAGTTGTAGGCTGAGCACCATTGGGATCTCATGTAGAAGAGCGCTGGTTACTTACTTAGAACTTAACAGCTCGGCTAGTTTACTTACTTGGAAAGTAGCTTCTAATCCAGGGGTGTCAAACCTATGGCCCAAATCCACTGTACAGAGCCCTGCCATCTGGACTCCAATGCTGGCTGAGTCTTATCCAACACAAGGCATGGCACAGAGCCAGGCTGGACCCACCGACTCCTCCCCTGCACCCCCAGCATACCTGATCCAACAGCATGGTGCAGATTCTGAAGTGGCCACCACATAGGGTGTAGTCTGGCTGGAACAAACTGTGTTGCATGCAGTGCCCATTCCAGCCAGTCTGAGACACTGCGCCTGCAAGCACCACATGCAGCATGGGTCCTGGATTGGCTAGACCGTGTGCGATGCCTGTTCCACAGCAGGGGTCACATACAATACAGTCTAGCCCAGGAGGCCACCACATCATGCAGCTCTCACTCTGGTCAGACTGCACCATATGTAATGCCCGTTCTAGCTACTCCAGACAGGCTGGAGTGGCTATTAGATCAGATACACAGGGAGATAGGAGAGTTCATAGGACCAATCCTGTGCCTCATGGGGTTGGATGTGTTGGATACCCCTATTCTAATCTATGCATCGGGAACAAAAAGGCAGAGAGAATAAAAGAAGTTAAACTACCTTAACATCCCAAAGGGTGACTTTTACTTGCAAAGTTGCTTTACTCATTTCTCATTTGATTTAGCATTTGATTACCATTGAGGAATACTAAGACTTCTAGGCACTTGCTCCTTATTTAACTATCAGTGACTTCAGATGTCTTCCATAAGTCAGCACTTATTGTCTCTTCTGGATCCAATTTTAGCTTAGCAAATACTGTATCACAATTCAACACAGTCAATTCTAGTGAATAGAAGAGGTACCATTATCCATTCTCTCTTTTGTGCAGTACTGGAGATGGATCATCAACATATTCATTACAATAGCACTCAAGGACAAACTGGTATAAACAGATCCACTGTTCTTGACTTCTTCACAACTTAGAAAGGAAGTTAGTCAAAATTTTGTCCCTTCAATTAAATATTTTCTACTTACTGAGTGTCATTGAAAGCTTTGAGAATCTCTCTATCCAGATAGTTACTTGTGATGATGTAGCCAGCATCTTTCTTTGTTTGGGGAAGTTTAGGCCCAATCTCTTGATGTTTGAATAAAGAGTCAAGAAGCGGAAGGTCCACAAGCTGCAGTAGACGAGCTATTGTTTGTTCTTGCCATACTTCATTGATAACTGGGTGAGGCAGAGGGTACAAAACAAGTGATGAAAGCCAGGTAACAAAATTATGAAATAAAAAGGGATTAGACAAGTTACAAGTTTTCCCTCTTCTCACAGGCCGAGCTGTTCCCACAGCAAGGAGTTAAAGTATAGGTCCCTTATCAGCTTTAAATACACTTTATCACAGCAGAAAAAAAAGAAAGAATTATAGATTTGTTTAGCCAGCTTCAAGAGTAGGTAGGAGAATTGCTCTGGCTAGGTCCAAAATGCCTGACATACTTTACACTCTAAAATTTGCAAGCAATCTTTGTCACAGATAAAGGAGTCTTGCACACACACCATGCTAATAGGGACCTGTGGAAAAAGAAAGACCTGTTGTAGCTTTTAGAGCTCAAAGTGACACCCTTACAGCAGATCCCTACCATATTAGCTTTCACTCTCAGATGCCCTATAGGTCATCTCGCTTGCCTGCTCTGGAGTTTCTGGGAAATTAGTAGTTATAACAGAGAAAGAAAGGAAATACACTAGGAATTGTGAGGAGGATACTAGCAATAGCTCAGTATCAAGTTTTACTGACTGCTCACAAAACTCGGACATAAGAGTGAGAGCTTCCACCAACAATTTTGCAAGGTCTTAAATACAGCAATTAAAAGGGGGTGGGTACAAGGTGTGTTTGTAAATGTTTGGGAGGCTAAGAAAAGGGGTTAATCTAATTATGCTAAATTGTCTGTGCTGAAGTCATGCCAGCTTCACAACAGTTGTATGTTTTCTTTCAGGGAACTGTACATTTATTATTGAGAGTTGAGACAAACTAGACTTTTTCTGTGTGCATTATGAAACACACTGTTCAAAACAAAAGGAGAACACTGTGTGTTCAGGATCTGTTCCATCTTGGATTCTGATAGTCTGACATCTTCCCTCCAATTTAAGATTGGAAAGGTTTCCACCTGTCATACCAGTTATTGCCTTCCTTCACACCTCACAAGTACCTATGGAATCTCATTTTGCTTACCTTGAGGAGACAAAACTTCAGAGATGTTTACTTGCAGGGTGTTAGCAGGCTGCAGTCTCAAGTTTTTCCAGAGATCATCTAAGTTTTCTGATTTTATTTGAATGGGATTAAATAATTCTGTTTTCCCATGTCTGAGATGAAGAGAAAGGGCAATCCAATCAGAAATTCAGTAAAAATAAATATTTACGTATGAAAATTAGTTATGCACATAAGTCATAACTATTTCTGTTTAGAAGGGCACATACTTTACTAAGTTACAAGTGGAAAACCAACAAACAAAAAAACCCCACACATCCTAAATGGATATTTTTAAGACTTGGCTGTACCAGATACTGGATTGCTCTGATCCAGTCTAAGAAATCATAGAAGTCAAGCTGCCAAGTTAGTTTCATTGCCCTATCACCAGCACATGGAGAAAGATAGAGCAGTACTAGGGCAAAATTGCATAGTTCTGAGAGTGAAGGAAGAAAGTCACCAATATCCCTGCTTCACTGGAATTCTTCCTCCTAGTCTACATACATGGGAGCAATAAGAAATCAGTTGGTGATTTTTTGGAAGTTGCTTTTCCATCTTCCCTGCCCTACAGTCAGTCAGCACATAAAAGAAGCTACATCATAGACATAGGCTAAGAGACCCAGGAGTGCGTGGATCTTCCCCTCCATGTTCAGGCCTGGAATTGGCAAATCCCCCTACAGTTGCAGGGGGATAGGTTCAATAGAGGGATGAACCTATAGCTCTTCTCCCCCAGCAGAAGAGTTATTAGAATTAGGATACAGTTTGTATGGTGGTAACTGTTCACTAGCAATATATTGTTTCTTACGTACAGACGTAGCCTATGGGACAAGCATAAATGAATGTAAAAATGCCCATCGGGCCTTGTTCCCCCCATATCTCCAGCACCTATATTAATGCTTTACTGGGTTTCAGTCATAGCCAGCTGCGTTTATAAGTTTTAATTTTCTTCTTAACCATCTACTGTAAGTAGAGAAAGAAACAGCAGAGCAATTTCAGCTGACAAATGATTTCTGCTGTAAGCATCGTTCCAATCCTCATTTCAAAATCTTCCCCATTTTGTAGTAAGTCAGTTTTTAGTACAGCTTGAAAACTTTTCCATTTTAGGCATGCATTCTGCTCTTTGTGTAACAGCCCACATAATTAATTCTTGTAGAAAAAGATGTGATGGTACATATCATTACATCAAAAGTAGAAGCAGCCCAGCATATTTCAGATAATACTCATGCCATCACACCACAAAAGCCACTCATAAATTTATACCTATGGGAAAAGAAAGGTCTTGGAATACACCAGATGCCTGTGTAGGAACAAGTCATGATTAAGCACTCTGCCTGATATAAATATCACATTTTCATCAAATGCAATTATTCTACTAAGATTATCCCGTTTCTAAATAAAGAGGTTTTAAACAGTATTTTTTCCCATTTCTGCTCTTAATAGCTTCTAATGGTGTTATATCAGCTTCAGATGTTAGATTCTGAAGTTTCCCCATTAGCTGGGTTGATGCATTCTAATTCCAATTTGCTATCAGATGCATATTACACAAGATGTCTGTACAAAACTTTCTATGGGATGAAAATTGCAGTGTCTAAAAGGAGTTGATGGTTTCAATCCAATTTCTAATGGGTAAGCATCCATACCTCCTCCTCAGAGATGGCTTCCTGATAGCAGTCACACGATTGAGTAGATATGGAGACTATTTTCTTATTCGACAGCGCAGTCTCTCTAGGTAAGAAACTTATTGTACTAGCTTAATGGTTTCAAGGTATCGGCTAGCATCTTTCCACAAACACAAAGTATACTACCCACAAAAATAAGCACCATCTCCCTACTGCAAAGTAGGTTATGTTTATGTACAGCTGACCACTAACCTTTGAGGTGTACGGTGCCCACGTTCCTTTTCAAATGGGCAGTCCACTGGGCTAGGTACATTTGCAAATCTATATAAACTGCAGCTACTATCTTCAAACACAGACCGTTTGTCTTTTCCAAAAACTCTTGTTGAAACAGCCTCAAACACTTTGTAATCCATCAGGGCTTGGCATACTCGCACTACTTTAGCACGAGAAATATCTATATCCCCAAAATATCTGTTCTGCAGGAGATGAGCAAAAACAATGTCCACTGCATCTGAGCCGATGAAACAGTCATTGTAACACTTCAGATTCTGTCGCCGCTTTTTAACTTCCACTTGAGTTTGAAGTGCATTGATAATGCTGCTCCATATGTATGTTGCACCAAAGGGCTTTTGTGCCAAGCTGAAACCTGAGAACATACACACAGGGAAAACATTAATAACTACTTGTTCTCTGAGATGCTGATGGCTTGGTATGTCAACTTCAGAGTGATAAGTGATATCCTACAGCATATATCCTAGGGGTAGACCACAAATGCAAACTCTGCACAGAAAAAAATAGTCTGTGCAGATACTGGATATCGGTTTCATACATGCAAATCTCTCTGGCGGTTGCATCCAGTGACCCAGCCTACTTCTTATTCTTAGCTACGGTTCTCTTCTACCTTATCAGTCATGCCCTTTGTTCTGTGCAGGTACCTTGTACAATCCACCGCTGACAGTCAATGGGGTATGTACAGAACCCAGTTAATACACACACTTACGTGCTCCTTCAGCAGTTGGAGACCACCAACAAGTTAATTATTAAGGACCCAATGATTTCATCAACTGCACTGAGAAATAGTTACCCCTGTTAGTCTGAAGTCAAAAGGCAGGACAGGGTAGCACCTTTGAAACTAACTGGTTCAGAGAGACATAAGCTTTTGCAGGTGGCAGCCAACTTTGAGAAGCCAAAGAGTTGCAAACTGTGCATCTGACAAAGGTTGCCAACGGAATGCCAACTTCTCTTTGACAATGGGGCATGGGAAAGGAAGTAACGAAGGGCTACTGCTTAGATAATAGTGCACTAGGCACAGGACCAAAATCATAAGTTAGCCTCATACAGTCCAATAAACATCTAACAAATGGGCCACTTTCAGCCACAACAACTCCAGCTTAGAATCAGAGCAGTAACACAGAGGCAAAAAGCTCCAATCAGCTGACTGGCAGCCCCAGCCCTGAGACGACATACTGTACCAGAGCATCCTGGCCTCCCCCACTTCCAGAAACATGCCCTTGGGATCTCCAGTGCATGTCTCTGGAAATGGGTGAAGTAGGGTTCCCCACTTCCAGAAATGTGCCCTCAGCAGTCTCCAGGAACCCCAGAGATTGCCAGTTCCCTGATGTGTTCCCCAGTTCCCCACTTGCAGGACAATGGGCGATGTGTTCTCTGGAAGATCAGCCAGAAGGACATTGGGCAATATGTACTTCACCCAACGAAGCAGATCAGCTGTGCCTGCACATATCTTGGCACAGCCAATCCGCTTCATCTGGTGATGCCTTTCTGAACCAGTTGTTCTCTAAGGCTAGAAACAGACATCAGCTTTCCTAGGCAACAGATAGTTTACTTCAGCAGAGGGTATACATGGGGCTTGCAGAAAGTAGGTATTCTACACAGGAGTGAACTTAAATATACAAGGTAAGGGGCGAGGGCACTTCTGAGAAAGGCCAAGGTGGGTTGATACTTCAGCAGAGACAGACAAAGCAATTCACCTCATATCCCTCAATGGGATGAGTCAATGGTGAGAGTTGTTACCCTTCCCATTAACAGAAGAAGCCTCTTAAAGCAAGCAATTATTCCCCTCTACTCAGCACAAGGTAGGCCTTACCTGGAGAGTTCTGGATGCAGCCTTTACAAAAGATATACGCAAATCAGAGACAATCCAGGAGAGGGCAGAAATAATTATTAAAAATAAAAACAAAACCAAAAGTTTAGAAAATATGATCTACGCCAAAAGATTTAAAGAAAAACAAAACCAAACCAAACCAAACCCACAGGTTCTTCAATCTAGAAATTTGAAGGCTAGAGGAATATAACAGTTTTCCAACATGTAAAGGGTTATCATAAACGATAATGATGATTAATTCTTCCTCATGGTCACTAGAGCTAGGATCAACAACAAAGTGCTTAGTTTGCAGCAAGGGAGCTTTGTTTCTAACTTGCATAAACTACTTTTAACTGTATGAAAAAGCTAAGCACCCAAACAGGCCAGCCAAGCAAGCTGTGAAATCCCAGCAGTGGACATTTTAAGCATAGGTTAAACAGACATCAGTCAGGGAAGCCAAGCAATGCTTTCCCTGCCTGAGAGCACTGTGGAACAGATGGGGTGACCTCTCAACATCCCTTTCAGCACCATTTCTCTAGCAAGGGTATGAAACGCATGAACAAGACAGTTTGGCAGAAGATGAGGTTTTCAGTAACAATGCTCCCAACAGGTCATGGGTCAGCACAGAGCCCAGGCTGGGCAACAGCTTGTTCACTCTGCCATTTCCAGTCACTTATTCTTGCCATGCTGTACTTGTCACTTCTGCTTGTTTCTATGAAGTTAAAATTAAATCAAAGAAGGAAGGAGAGCAAAAGACACCCTCTCTCCCCACAAACCAGCTTGGGGACTGTGCACTTGTATTTCTAAATACTCTTTTATTACCATTAACTCCTCCCTTGACCACCCAACGGGTGCATGTGGGGAGCAGAAATAGTTACGTTTTTCTCTAAGGGCTGTGATTCTCGAGCAGGGCCCCTGGGAGGGTGCCCTGCCAGGTGCCAGCCCTTAGATGGGCAAGCCCAACAAGCCCAAGGAGAACCTCCCGGCTCTGTTGCAGGAAACGTGCACTGCTCCTGCCCCGGCATCCAGAGCAGGGACGGCAGCCAAGAGCCGGCACTTCCTGAGGGGGCCCGAGCCTAGGGAGGCGGAAAGCCACGCTCCCAGGGCACAGCCCCGGCACGGGACGCCTTTCATACAGCCCCCAACTTCCAGGACTTGCCTGGGCGGGGGCAAGAGCCGCGAGACCTTGGTGCGGGCTGGGGCCACCCCCTCCCCGCGGGGCTAACCTGTTGAGGGGCAGCCAGCTGCCACCCCTCTGGGGGAGACGCAACCCCCACAGGACCAGGACGCGGCCCCCCTCCCGCGGCCTACCCGGAGGCTTGCTGGCCGGGCTGTAGACGGCGCAGAGATTCAAAGCTGCCGCCCTCTCCCGCACGCTGGCCATGTCCACCCAGCTCCGCACGCCACCCAGGCACTGCTCGCGCCGCTGCCCAGCCTAGATGTAGCTGAGGGAGTGGGCGGGGCCAGCAGGCCAGGGGCAGCCCCATTGGCTCGGAGCCCACCTCCGAGCGCGGTGTGTCCTCCCGCGTTCCGAGCTCTGGCCCCATTGGCCCGGCCCTGAGCCCCCGAGCGCAGTGCGTCCTCCGCGCGCCCGGCCCCCGCTGTCCCACTCTCCTGGTCAGGGGCTAGTCATTAGCCCGCTGGAAATGAACCGAGCGGCTGCGTGTAGCCACACAGACAGAAATCAAAACCAAGCAGCAGTGTTTCCTGGACCGTTAATGCGTAGCTTAGGCGCAGCCTTCGTTTAGGGACTGAACCTGTCCAGTTGGGAAAAAAAAATCTGCTGTTACTATTATTTTTAAGGGCCTCTGTTACCTAAAGCCACTTAAAATGAGAGCAGTTAGTGATTAAAGAGCGTTAAACTGCCTTAAATACCTTCTAAGGGGTTCTCAACCTTTTCTGTACCAGGACCCCTTTGTAAACATCCATAGCCAGTCCCAACCCAGTGCCTTTCAGGGCCCACCTGCTGTCCCCAGGCCCCAGGCCCCAGCCCCCAGCTCTGGGGGTGGGGGGCAAGCAGCACAGCAGGGTCTGCAACTCTGTTTTCAAATTTGCTATCCATGTTTAAATGTTATCCATGTGTTCAAGTTTGTTTGGGACCCTTTCATATATTCTTGCAAACTACTTTTGGGTGGCAACCTAGGGGTTGAGAAATGCTGCTCTAACCCTTTCAAAGTTATGCCACTCCAGCTGAAAGTTCTCTCTATATAATCCTGTAGTAGTGGCTTGTTCATGCTTTGCTTGTAGGTGGTGGAGGAACCCAAGATGAACTTGCTGGATCAGTCCATCAGTAAGAAAGGTAAATAGGTGTAGAGTTTCATCTACACATTGTCAAAATACTTATTCACAACATTTGTTGCAAGGCAGTAGGTCCCCATGTTCTAACTTAATTTTTTATAAAAAATCATTTTGAGTCAGTGATTAAAATAAGATATACTGTCTTCTATCCTCTCAACGTATTTACAAAACTCTGTTGGAACACAATGAACTACATCCCTGAAAAGGTTGCTAACTTTTATTTTGAAAAAAAACAATCCCATGAAAGCAAGCAGAAGAGGCTAAGTTTGTTTCATGACAGTATTTTACTCAGATTGGTCTAAGTAGTTTATGTTGTTCTGATCTACTTAAATCTAGTATTTCCTATTTGGCAGGGCATTGGCATACAAAAAGTGACCTATCTTTATAGGTAAATAATTTCTTTGCACTTCACCACTGTGGTATCTATACTTCCCTATAGCAACAGCAATGTAGAGGTCCTTCTACAAGTTACATTTATGCCAGATGCTAATGAACATGTTAATCACATCAGAAATGGCAAGGATGCTACATGTACACCCAGTTTAAAGTGTCATAAAATGGCAAACTAGCCAAAAAAATGTTCCACATATAATGCCTGGCTTGTATGGTACCTTCAGTTGAACATGTGGAATTCTCTGCCTGCCCCAGGGCTGGGGCCAATAATCAGCTGATTGTTGGATCCAGCCTAATGTCAACCTAGGATCCAGCCTAATGTCAACCTCCAGCTAGCCCTGGTGCAGTCAGTGGATTGTTGGCCCTGAACCCAGGATTGCACCAGGTCATGCTGGCCTGCAAGCACCTGGCATTCAGCCTGCCAGTGCAAGAGAAGCCCAGGATGTGATTGGGATCTGATCCCTGATCCCAGAATTGCACCTCCTGCCGTGCATGTCTGACATGACAGGACACATGATTATTGGGACAGGGACTTAAGTCCAATGGCACCTTTAAATAAACATGTGCCAAGGGCCTAAGAAACAGAAAAGAGGAACTTTTTCCTTTCTTTTCTATTGGGCAAAGGAAATTGAAAAACACTACAAGGCATAAGCTTGAAAGCATTGGTCATTTATGTACCAACAGCAGTAATCCCTGTGATTAGCTGGGTGAAGCAAGCCAGAAATATATATTATTTTTTATACACCAAGTTTTTAATAGAAGTAGATATATATATTTTTACAGAACTACGTGGAATATAAGATGCCACCCAATGTGAATGAGTGTAGCAAGACCTAGGCAAAGTAAGAGAGACTGTTGTAAACAGTACCACTAGAGAAGCTGCACGATCTGCAGACTTCCCAATCATTCTTTTATGTCATTAACTTTTCATGCGGTTGCAGAGACATGATTTTGTTACTAATGTTAATAAAAATGTCCATAACTGGGTTCTAATCTGGAGGAATATTGTTACAAATTGAAGCAAGCAGCTTGAGATGTTTAGAATAAAACCGTTGAGCTTTGACTTGGAAATTTCACACACTAGAGCCAGAAGCAAGTTCTATTGTGTGCAAGTTCCAAAGAAAACCTAAAAAAAATAAGTTACTCTAAAGCTTTAGGGACAAGATCCTGATCACAAAGAGACCAAGTACTGGGCCTAATTCTGAGGATTTGCTCCTACTCATAACTCCCAGTGAAGCTCATAAGAACTCAGTCCAAGGATCTGGAATTTAGTCACAAGAGTACAGCTTTGCATAAGCATTAAAAGCAACATGTTTAAGTTCAGTTCCTATGGTTACCAATATATTTTTGGTGCCCCAGTTGAGAATAAATTAGCTAAGTGAATGAAGTATTTACAGAAGGAGAAACAAGGCAAAAAAGAATGGGGTTGATACTATATTTAAATTCCAGGCTGGCTATGGAGAGACAGATAGCAATTTGAAAAGACCTTAATAATTTGTTGGTTAAAAGTTGCCCAAACACAGTGGAAGTATTTTATTAGCAAATGCAAAGGTGCCTGTCCTAATCCAAAAATGGTAGTAAATGGTCAAGGAAGAAAAGAAGGAACTAAAACAACTTGTTTAAATTTTTCCTTCAAAAGTTTCTGAGCTCTTGTCAAACCACTGAAGACTTGAGAAGAAATTGGCAAAAAAACCCTCAAAACATTTTTTCTGATTTTTGGTTGCCGAAACCCAGAACAAAATAGTTAAGGGTTTTATGACCAAAAAAGTAAAACAAACAAACAAACATACAAGGGATATACCTGTAAACATTTCCATCTTAATACAAAAAAACTGTTGTCACCCAAATAACTATGACCATCTATAAACTTCACTGTTTTAATTTAATTGTTTAGATTGTATGGTTAAGTGCTAATCTTGCATCTCAGAAGTAAACTTCAGCAAGTCCATTTCTAAAATTTAAGCCTTACCAACACTAGACTTCTTTCTCTAGAATTCAATAAAGTGTTTTCCTGCAACAACGTAAGAAAAACTGAAAGGCTGCTTGCAGATGTGAAAAACAACCCCCCCAAAAACCCTGCAGTTTACCAGAAGCAGCAGTGTGTTACTTCAATCTGGCTCTGAAGCATCTGCATAAATTGGGCATTTCAGTGGAGCTTTTTGGCACTTTTAGCTAAAGCTGATTCAGTCAGCTATTACATAAAAGCACCAAAGCCCCCCTCTGAAGTGCCTGATCTCTACAGACATTGGGTGAGCCAGGTCCAACTAATGTGTTATCTCTTCTAGGTACGTGCTGGGCTTGGCACAGGAGCGCACCAAGTTTAAAGTGCTTTTTTTTGCACCTGTTAAACCTTAAAGTTGGTGCCAACAAGTAAGTGTTACCATATTTACTCGAATACAAGACAACAACCCTGAATATAAGATGACTCCCTATAATTAGATTCTATATATGGAAAATGTATATGTTATAACTTTTAAGGTATAGCATCTCATTATTGCAGTTTTGCCTTCAATTTATCCCCCTGGGACTGCTACAGTACAGAAAATAAATCTAGGGAGGAGTCAGATGGCTCCCTTATGCTTTGCCTCTCCACAACTTCTTGCCCCTGCTGCTCCTTCTCTTTCCCCTCTACCATCAAACTCTGCGTTCCCTGAGCACGAGAGAGAGGCACATTTGAAAATGCTGACAGATCAATTCATGTATTACACGCACACACACTGAAACTAATGCAAGTTTTAGCACATGTACTCTACAAACATTCTTTGAAACAGCACTTTTGCACCTACTTATATGTAGTACAAACTTAAAAAAATAAATCTTTTTCAAGGCCAAACCAGTTCCAAATTCTATTAGGCAAAGCCTGATAGTCAAGTTCCAAAATTTGACTGAGCAGAGCTCAATCAATAAGTCTGTGTGGCTCTACCACTTGGCAAATATCCTTCCTCCCAGACCCACTAGCCTGGGGCTTCTGATACTCCCCAAATCCAGGCAGACATCCTATATGCAAGCCCCAGAACCAGATGCCTTGGGGTTCAGATGCCCCCTATTTCCCTTGAGCTTAGCTAAAGGCTGAAAAGTGTCAATAATGCAAACTTGTGTTTTTTGTAAATTACATATATAAAATAACTTTACTTCCAACACTGCCAAGCAGCCTCTGTGGTTCATTTGACAGCTCAAAGCCCACTTTGACAGTTAAACCATTAAAAACCTGTTACAGTTCACACTGCGTGTCTGCCCACCCATCTCCATACCCATACCCCTACCCACTGCCCTCCTCAGAGGGCCTGTCCCTGAAACAATCTATGCCAGACCTCTCTCCACCATCTGAGGTCTTCCATTTCTTTCCTGCCATCCTCTTTTATCTTCCTATAGTACCAATATGTTTCATTCAATCCCATTTTAATACAGTCCTTGACTGCAGGGTCTGAGTATCGGTTTAGGAGCAGGTTCTTGGCTTTCCACAGCATACCTAAAGCAGGATATGAGCTGGTCAAAACAGGCAGTACAAACTATGTATTATATTAGTCCAAAACCAAAATGCTCATGATTTATCACATATTTCATTGGGCTGGGCCCCAGCAGAGTCAATGGCATGTCAAGCCATGGTAACCCCAGAGCTCAGCACGTGTATGTGCTCCAGATTCCCCCCCAACAAAGGATCCATGCGCTAATTAACCCCAGTCATGACTGGGGCTGGATGTTCTTGTCACAAGTCCTGAGGTGCTCCAAAAATGTATATG